AGGCGAAATCACGGTACGATAAATCCTCACGGTGCGCCCATAAGCACGACGACTTCAAGTTCTGCATTAGCATGAGTTGGATGGAGAGCAACCGGCGGTACGAAGCATGGATCAATAGACGGGCGGAATAGTGGGCGAAGAAAGGTTGGATGAGTGCGGTGAAGATGTACGTTCATTTTTTTCTCTATCTCTGTATCATAAATTCACACCAGCACTGTCCAGGGTGTCTCGAATGCCATCCCTCCGTCCCGTCATGGATGAGAAAATACGACGCGAGTTGTAATCATTTCTGTACTTGTACGCTCGACTTCCTCCGCCTCCAAGCTTCAAGCAGCTTCAAGGCTCACGAGGCCCTTCCATGACGCGACGGCAACTTGTACTTTTCCACCATAGTACGCACTCTTTCCTCTTCCAACAATGAACTACTGACCTCTGTACAGGCACGGGACGTCCGAACTCTGGCATTTCACCAACAAATGGAGCGCATAGGTCGGGATATTGGACTCGTTGTTTGAGAAATTCTGACTAACATTTGCAAGCGTCCATTATCATACCCACATACTGAGACTCGACGTCCTGTTGGAGCTAAAGGCTAATTTTCACTGTGTACTTACTCAAATAAGAATATATTGACGCCATTCAATAATACCCAGATCCTCTAACCGCCAGTGTTCTTTACAAGAAATTATCAGCATCGACACTTTCTCAAACTTTCCCCCTGGCAGGCTTCGCCCAACCATCCAACCACAGTCCCGTGAGCTCTCAAATTTGCAGGCGTAAATCATCGCGTAAGTGTCTTCAGGTATCGGGGACGTGTGGGTGGCGGTGATCTTGACTCTGTGTTCTCTCCCACCCTTGTCTTTAACAATCAACACTCCACGTCGATCACCCCCTTCCACAACAGCCAACCCCCGCACTAAGCCTTCAATGCACTCCGCATCACACGAGTCGCCCGTGACATCCCCCCGATCAACATCGATGCAGGTGTAAAGACGATATGTAGGCAGAGGCTTCAAGTTCATCATAACCTGCTTCCACGATGGCCTCCATTTTGTGCCTGCATCTCCTGGTTCAGGACGCGAGAAGAACAGCTCCCTCCGATGGCACGTATCCATAGAATTCACGAGCGCTGTCCATGCGCGCTCAAGAGACTCGCTCTCGGAGTATGCCGGTATCATGGCAGACTGGAGAATGAATGTCAGTCCCGCGATCTTGTCCACTGGGTTCGTCGACACCCGTTTCTGCATCTCCTTCAGTGCCTCATGGATTGGCATCTGCCACATTGAACGTGTAGACCGCAGCTGCTCGTGAAACCTGATGAGCAGCTCAGTCTCATGCTTCCCGCCCTTACACTCGGGATGCAGTGGTCCATCCGGTGTGTCCCCGGCAATCACCCTTGTCCCGCCAACCTCCTGCAGTGTCCAAGCACGTCTAAACCAAGACCGATCACTCTCCAAGTCACCCTCCTTCAACGTCAAAGGCCGACCCAGCCCACTCAAGTAACACACCACATTTTTGCCTTGATACACTCCTCCGATGGTGGGCACGTCTACCTTCCACTCTTCTGCGCGCAAGTCCTCTCTCCATCCGCCCACCTGTCTCAAACAGAGAACGTCCAACCAAGCATACTCCAGTCCGAGATTGAGCATCTCGATGCGGATCAGGTTGAGGTTGACATCCTTTGGGATGGGAACGGGCCATTCATATCTGTTGATGGGCGTCCAAATAGCGGTGCGGTCCTTCTCGTCCATCCATGCGTGCGATATCGGCCGAGGCCACACGCGCCATCTGGAACCAATACCCATGGACCAATATGGCACTACCCGATTGCTATACAGATCCCAGACCCGTCGAGGCGGCAAATCTGTATCGATGATCCGGTTACCATCAAGTGCTTTTCGTCGCATCTCCCGGTCCTTCTCTTCCCATCTGCAAAGTGTATCTCGTACGGTGCTCCAGTCGTTGTTGTACCATATTCTGCGAAGGAGGCCATATGTCAGCCCAAAGTCGTACCTCCTTGTGATACAGGCTTCAAGAAAGCAGGAGAGGGATGGATTGTCCAGGCTGTATGATGTTCCGCATGTGGTGTTGAGTTGATTCAAGAGGCCCTGAACGCCGAGGGTAGCGCAGGGAGTGTCAGCAAGGCGGGATGGTATCACGTGCTCTCCGGTATATGATCGTTGCTTTGGAACGATGATCGACGATTCCTCTTGACCCGTCTCAGTGAAGGCAGAGATGGTGACCTCGAGAGGAGAGGAATACTGAAAATATTTTAGCAATTACCTCTTGCTTACTTGACAGACTTACCCAGGCCCTGAGACGCCGATCATCCATGATGTCGCCGCCGCAAAACGTAACTTTGGTATACGACTTAGATAGTGTTCATGTATGAGTACTCGAAATGAAAGCAGCAAATGGTACGTACTATATCCTGGCTCAGAAGATGAAGGGAGTACCACCCGAAAAGGTATTTGCCTAGACCTGAAACGCGGTCCCTCGATGAGCAAGCGTCGATTGTAGAGGGACCTGTAAAACTGAGTTTAAATTTAGCACAAAGTCGTTTCAGACCTCGGGAGCCTTCGGGCTTTCCTTTTTAATTTAGTATCCATATATGGATTTGAGTGATCAAAACCGTCTTTTCGTTGTTCTTTCATGCTCTCTCGCGTCGTTCGTCACTTGGACTGATGCAAACCTGTAGCTCTGGTGTATCTACTGTCTCTGAGGCTTTCTCTGAGGTTAGAAATGCCTCTCATGATGAATTGGTGCAAAGGATAGCCTGGATTGATGAAGGCCGTGTTCCCCTTGGCTACATTCTACCTTTTCCCATCGAAAAACGCGTCATTCTGTATCGCTTCTGCCTTTTGGCATACTACGCTACTGGTGGAGCAGAGGTTCCACGCGAAAATCAACTGAAGGCCGCGCTTGCATCTTATGAAGGCCAGGATTCCCTTGTCATCGCAGGCACAGGATCTGGGAAGACCCTGGTCATCGCCTTGCTGCTTCTTATCAACAGCGTTCCGGACCGTATTTCTAGAACTGTATCTCCACTTAAACGGCTGCAAGTTACTCAGGTATATTTTCCGACCCGCCATTTGCAATAGCTCTCATAAGTAGATCAGACTGAAAATTTCAATGCGAAATACGGCATCAAGACAGTAGCTATAAATGATGATACACCTCGAAATATTGAATGGTGGAGGGTATGCTTTGAATATCCGTTTAGATATGGTCGCATCTGACAACTGGGTATAGGATAACGTACATAACGGCAAAAAGGGTGCTTCGCAGATGACTACTGCTAGCCATTTTATCGTTACAGCGGAGCAGCTGTTCAAATCTTCTGAAGGGCATTTCTCACGGTTTGGTCGACAACACCAGGGGTACAAAAACCATATCGATTCCTGCAATTTACTCTGCGCGTCTTTTAGAAGTCGAATAGATGATCGGTGGATATGACGTACCTCCTGCTATTCGATGCTTCGTTTGCGATGTTATCAAACACTGTGCGAATCGCGCTTGTAGGCGTAGAACCATAGTAAGCGGTGTAACCGTTGGCGGAAATATAAGCAGACGCTATAGAAGCTAAGGAGTTCCCATCAGTATACTAACTGAAACGTATTTTAAATGAGTTTACGCAAGATACGAGTAGTGAGAAATACCAACCTTGCGCCGATAACAGCTGGTCCGGACAGAGAGAGGTTGATACTAGGGTCTCTCTTGAGAGGACTGGCGAAGGCGAGGCTGAGGCTGATCAAAGAAGTGAGCATGCCGAGAGAGTACTTGACTGGCGGTCCAGGTAACGCTCCTCTTGTTTAAATATCGTTTGAGATCGTTCCATGAAGTCATTAGTGTCAAAAAGCACGTCCGACCTTGGTAGTGGCTTCTGCGAGGGGCGATCCTTGGTTAGTAACGCCCTCTATATCGTCAAGAAACCCACCGAGAGGCTTCTTGTCGTGGTGCTGGCTGCAGAAAAGGAGACAACACGGGTCCCCAAGCTTATCGGTACCGACAAAGCTCCTCGTGATGACAGATGCTAGTGTGGCACTTCCAGGTGCTTTTGAAACTCTCTATGCGTGACTTCAACGGGGGGAACGTACTAGCGTCGGCGCTATCGTGCCAGGAAGGATAGTCCGATGATATTACGTTCCAGTCATGAGAAAAAACTACAAAGATATAGGAAAACGTTAATTAACGCACAGGGATACTTTACATCGGGAGCTACTTTTCAGGAACTACCGACACGAGAACACTGAAAACCCACAAGTACAAAGCACAGGGTGGAAAACCGGTGTTTGACTACTCCTCCGAGTACAAGCGATATTGGTACACGTTCCGAAACGGCAGCAAGGCAAAAAATCCGGTTACGTGAGGATTGGAAAAGCGCGGTGTGGGCACAGCTGAGAGGTTCAACACTAATCCCAGGTGCCCGAGCGCCTTGCAAAACGCATATAGCCGAGCTAGCTTATCGCAGGCCGGAGTCACTAGGCGTACGATCCAGTATGGCAGTGCCGGAAGAGCATAGTCACAGGTCTGAACGAGACCTCGTGAGGTAACGACAAGAGCGTCGGTCGAGTAGTTTGGGTTCTCCATATGATATTCGCTGCCTGTCAATTCGCCGATTCTTCTCTTCAGTCCTAAATATCGCCTCGGCCCTCGACTGGGACGTCGCTGTCAGAAAAGTGAAGTAAAAGTAAGCTTTGGCCCCCCTCTAACAGACATGGCCGTAGAACTTGAAGGCCGTGTTTTCGCGGCTGTTGACATCTCGTTTTAAAGGTGGAACAGGAAGAGGGAGGTAGAGACTCACCTCATAGAATTCAGGTCCGCAGAAACAAAAGCGCAGAGCTTGTCCTTTTTTTTCTTGAAGATGCGTGCATCGGCTCGTGTGTGGAATGGAGGTGTGGCCGACTCGGCTTTTCACAGCGGCTCGATGTTGAAGTTGCCAGTGGTACTGGAAGGATTAGCATGTCCTTTTAGGAAAAGGAAACTATACCACTGGTTGTTCGGATATGGTGTAACGGCTAACATTGCCGCCTCTCATGTTGTGCACCATCTGAGGCACGCGGCAGCTCGGGGTTCGATTCCCCGTATCCGAAATATTATATAAGAGACTAGGATATGATTTTCTCTATTTTTTGTTCCTTCAAAATTCAACGACGCTCGACACTGAACAGTGAACGGCGAACGCAAATAGATTTTGTGTCGCTGAAGGGAAAGGTATCCCGATCCGCTACCCCACTTACTTTGTGTTTTTTTTTCCCTCGGGCCAATGTGGGGCCAGGATGGAGGCGCGAAAGGACGTGTTTTTCGAAAGGCTAAGAGTATGGGTTTCCTTGTCGTCTTGCTCTTGCATTGTAATAGTACGATAAAATATTGCTAGAATCGATAAATATTAAGAGACAGTTGGACGTCGAGTAGCTATGATGGACCCCTCCGACTGTACTATGGGTTTTGAGCTGATGTGACCGGTCATTTTGAAAAGGCCCTCCAAATCAATACTTGACAGCGGAAAGCAACTACTCGCCAAATCAGCATTTGGATCTTCGCGCGCCTGCTATTGACGTTGAGGCCCAAAGTTATTGGCAGGCGCTTGCTTCACTGTTTTTCCAGCTCTCGCATCCCGGACGCGCAGAGGGCTCTAGAAAAAGACTCGTTGAAAACAGGCACAAGTGACGATGCGAAGCCCGAGTTTCTGACGCCGCGTTGTAAGACGGTTCCATGGACGTCTCGACAAGATTGAGATGTTGAGGGAGGACCTCTCCTCTTCGGCTCTTCCTCCGCTGATGAGAACATTCTCCCTCTTCCGCGGTTGTATTGGCGAAGATACAAAGAGAGAGGGGAGGCTTGACACGGGTGCTGCTTATGTTCGGGTGTTGGGCAGGGCCTAGTCATCACGGAGTATAAGTAACTGCAGGACACTCGCCTAACGAGAAGTTATTCTAGGAGGTAGGCGCTCTGGTCATGGGCGTGGATAGTAGGATAAGATAGAACATTAACCTCCTTTTGCTATTCCGGGCTCATTGAGAGGGCAGAGCTCAGGGCGAATGGCGGGTGCGTGTTATGAAGGGTGGGGGCTGAGTGCATCAAGATGGTATAGGGGAGGAAAGCCATGTGGGATTTGACTTTACAACCAGGTCTTGGTAGTTTCCTTGATGCGCTCTGTGACTGGATGGACGTGCAAGAAATAATGGAAGATATATAGACGTATCTAGGTGACTCTATAAATTAATACCAACAGGTGAATCTATTCCCTGTGAGAAAGATGAGTACACGTCGGCGAAGACGGCAAAGATGACGTACCGCTACACCTCCTTCATGGGCACTTTTTCGTGTTCCTTCTCCTCCTGCTCCAACTGTGCTTGACGCGCATTCACCGCACTGAGGTACGTGTCTACTGGCGTGTCACCGCGGGACTATGAAGAAAAAGGCAACACTCACTCCAGAACAAACTAACAACGCTGACCACCACGAAGCGCATATGATGCGGAACCAGAGCAAAGTTGATGATCTGGGTGGGTATGAAGACGCCCCAATTGCGGAGGATGGTCGGGACGTATGCAGCCTGGATGCGCGGGTACGCTTCCTGCGGGACGCCCTCGAGCACGGACATGCACGTGAAGAACGCGCCGACGGCAAAAGGGGTGAGCACGGCTTGGTCGAGCCAGACGCGGTAGACGATAGCGCGGGTGGGCGAGGCGAACTGGATGCGGTTGAGGAACTGGTACCACCATGTCATTACTGGCCCGAAGAGTGCACCGCCGTAGAATGTCAGCCGGACGGTGCGGGTGAACTGCGTGTTTGTTAGGGGGGAGGGATGGGGCAGACAAAAGGCTACGCACGTCATGTCGCCTGAGGCCTTTCTTTTCGATGAGTTGTTGAGCGATGATGTCGCCGGTGCCAAAGAGGAGGGCTGCGGTGCCGCACTGGGCGAGCATCGGCCGCCGGATGAGGAGCGCGCTGTCATTGGCTTAGTGGATAGTTGTAGAGAGACGGAGAAGGACAGACTTGTATGCGCGGAAGAGAGAGGCCATCAAGGAGAGAACCAAGCGGGGCCCCACAGATAGGGCCGCTATTTGGCCGGCGCCGCCACCTTGGCCCTGAAATTGACTTTCCTTTCACGCGTCAACGACCACCGACATCTACCCGCCCTGCATCGTCATCCCTTTGCGCATGCATCTGACTACCAGTAGGGAGTCTCTATCTCGTCACTCTACTGCGACGCTCGCGTCTCTTGCCTGATTTGATGTTCATAGTGTACCTAACCAGCTGCACACAGCCTTTCTGCCCTCGAAAGGCTATCATGTCTTTCGATGGAGTCATGGCAAGCTTCCTTCTCTCGCAATGGAGTCCGAACATCACAGAACCCTCTAGGTGATCGTCTAAACCCTCGCAACAACACGTGCATACTTTCCGCCATCCACCTTCTATCTCCTCGCCCGTGAATAAGCTCGTCGCGGCGCGCAGAACCCCAGCATGGGCACCTGCTAAAGGGAAGAATCAGATGCGTGTCTCGCAACGCCATTGGACCTCCACGTCGCTTCATTGGCGCGTCGTCACGTAGAGGACTGCTTCCATCCATTTCGCACTCTCTCCCATCGCCTGCTCTTACTATACCTTGCTTCCATCGTCCCCGGCCACAACGCACAGAGTCGCATGAGGACACGACCGGGCCCGGAGACCGCTCAGGAGGACGAGATAGTACTCCAAAGTCCCGTCCCTTCTCGCACCATACCGTAAACATAAACACTTGAACCCAGTTCGCCTTTATCCATATCGAACTTAGTTATTAATCCTCGGAGTCACATTTATTGTACAGAGCAAACCTAACCGACACACAGGCTACCTCATCATCCCCTGTCACTGTTTTCTGAAATCCGACAAAAAGGATCGAAACTTGTCAATCCTCACCGGCAATAAATCAAAATGAGTTATACCAAAATTGTCGTTATAAAATATGATCATCTTGAGTATTTCCAAGTGTGAATACGTCCCAATTTGACCCTTGAAGGAGTTTTGACGAGGAAGAGAACCGACATTAAGCGGAGGTTCAAGTTGCTTGTTCATCTCGGAAAGGCTTTCCACACTGACTTCCGTGGGACGAACTGCCAAAGCCAAATGACATCCAGAACCCGACGTCTTGATGAAGGTATCATCAGAATTCGACCGGAAACAAAGCAAGAACAAAAAAGCGTACCACTTTCTTAAGCGGAAGAAATTCATATGGGTGTGGAAGGTGGTTATTGAGATATATAATATGGACATTATCGGCGGTGGCTTGCGCTTTATCCGCAGCGGCTCGAGCCATCCCATCATGAACTTTATGACTCGTGTCGCCATTAAGCTGCAAGGGGAGGTTGGTCTCCATGGCTTCTATCTTCCTCTCCAGCTCCACGAGTTTTTCTTGAATACCGATAGTAGTAGGTATAACATAGAGAGCATTAGAATCTATGCGTCAATATATCAGCAACTGCACAAACATGAGATTATGGACACTGCCTACAAGCACTCTCTAACGCAAGTTGGCGCATTTCTGCGTCAAGAATGATATGGTCCCCTATGCCCTCATGACCGGCCGCTAAGCGCGTATTTGCATCAGAATAATCACAGTATCATGGGACAGGCCGACAGTCACCTTTGAATCCGTGAAGGGCCTTTGCAACCTTCCTGGCAGAGTCGATGTCCTTTGGCGTAATCTCCTTGGCTAGAAGTTCTTGCCAGCATCTCTCGTCGAGATTAGGTAGTTTTGAGCTGATTGAGGAATGAGCTTCGATTTGATTGAGGCTGCGGATTTTGAGATTATCCATCTTATGGTTGGGGTATAATTTACGACGAGGAACCCACAGTTTAAATACGATTGCAGGCCGAACGATAACCATGGTCTGGTGACCATCTTCCTCCCGTGAAGCAAGGCCGTGACATGCTGCAGCACATCGTTCACCCATTGGTCGACTCGTACCATGTATCATGTCAGGATTCAGGAAGACTGCTCATGCCTTCACACCGGATATGTGGCGTGGTGCCTACCACAACGCTTGCGACTCAGACGTATTCAGTAGAAAGTTTCCCGTCGATGTTATATTTAGTATTTCTTACTCAAGTCAAACTCGAGCATGCTACAACGCTCGGCAGCTTACAATATTGACATCACTGGGCGCCTGTTTGTTTCAATTGGCTATGCAGCTACGTCTGAGCTACTAGGAGTGCAGGTGCGATTTAAAAACGCGATGCCAGTGGATGTTCTAAACGGAGGTTCGGAGGTTTGGGGGTATATGCTCCTTTCTCTTGCCCGAGTCATCCCTCAATCGGATTGTACCACCCTGGATACTTACTCCGTGGTAAGCCTGGATAAAGTTTGACTTTTAAAGTTTGCCCAAGGCCTGGCCTCCCAAAGTCAAAAAGTCCGAGCCGTGGCGCTCAGTAGTACAACGATTCATCGAAATTTTTGTCAATGCTAGCGCTGAAAATTACGGAGGAATCGTTGGTCCAAATTTTCAGCGTCTCTTGATGCAATTCAGTAACAGGTACCGACTTGCGAGAGGGTTCTGTGGCACAACGCAGATATACAGTGAGCATAACCTATCAAGGCAATAGAATTGTTGGCAGGCTGCATTATTCTTGACGGCGGTAGCTATTGCACAAGTAGTACAGTAGCGACGTGGTGTGTACTGGCTATCCATGCTATCTGTCACACCATACACGATCCGGTCTAACTTCCCGCTGAATTGACTTCACCCGTTGAATTTTGTCAGTACGTAACTTATTTAAGAATACTGAGTAAACTGATCGAGCAGCTATCACCGAACTAAGGTGATTTACTGGATGAACCTGACGAGAAAGAGTCGGGAGATATGTAGGTGGATGTAGGATTATTAGCCCTTACTAAGTATGAATGCGAAGACCTTTGTCAGATGCAAGGCTAGCCAAAAAAATCATTAGCGTAGAGACCAGGCTTTACGGGATAGGAAGGACTCCGAAGCTACTTTTGGCTTGGATGCAAAAAATCTTTCCTTTGATGATTGCCGACTAGTAAGTCATTCACAGAACAATGATCATTGCTGATGTATAGTATAAAAACAGTGATATACCGTATGCTTGCCAGCTTGTATTTCAATTGTGCCTGTGCATATGCACTCTGATCATACCAAGTGCCAATACTAAATATAACGTCGACTGAATACTATATAATTCTGAGTACTTTCGGCGTTCCTTTTTGGGACCTTGTCCGGTTATCTATCTATCTATCTATTGGATACTCCTCTCTGTAGCGCCTTTGCCGCTGGAAACATACAGCGCGATCTCGACAAGGTCTCTGCTGTTGATGACGACATCCGCTCAGATGCTGTCTTGGAGGCTATGCTTGCTCATGCTAGGAATACAGTTATGCTTACACGCACATCACTCTGATTCATGAGAGGGAATTCTGCCCCTAAACGGCGTACGGTGCCCTAGATCTGTAGGCGTGGTCGGACTCGAGGATGCCTTGTTCCGGTAAGGATGGTGAAGCAGGTCACCTGTTGGACGGGTAGAGGTACCAGGGAGGAGAAAAAGAGGGAAGTTTTCGCTAATGCATTGCTTTGAGTGGGAGCAGAAATCCTTAGGGTCATTGAAATTACAGCAACTAATAGAGGATATAGAGATGTATCTAGCAAATAGCTTGATACCAATGCGTGAGTCCAACCCCTGCGAGAGAGATGAGTGCGCGTTGACATCAATGTAAAAGGGACATATAGCTACACTCCAGAACAAACTAACAACGGTGACCACCACGAAGCGCATATGGTGCGGAACGAGGGCAAAGTTGATGATCTGAGTGGGTATGAAGACGCCCCAATTGCGGAGGATGGTCGGGACGTATGCAGCCTGGATGCGTGGGTACGCTTCCTGCGGGACGCCCTCGAGCACAGACATGCACGTGAAGAACGCGCCGACGGCAAAAGGGGTGAGCACGGCTTGGTCGAGCCAGACGCGGTAGACGATAGCGCGGGTGGGCGAGGCGAACTGGATGCGGTTGAGGAACTGGTACCACCATGTCATTACTGGCCCGAAGAGTGCACCGCCGTAGAATGTCAGCCGGACGGTGCGGGTGAACTGCGTGTTTGTTAGGGGGGAGGGATGGGTAGGCAAAAGGCTACGCACGTCATGTCGCCTGAGGCCTTTCTTTTCGATGAGTTGTTGGGCGCCGGTGCCAAAGAGGAGGGCTGCAGTGCCGCACTGGGCGAGCATCGGCCGACGGATGAGGAGCGCGCTGTTATTGGCTTAGTGGGCAGTTGTGCATAGATGGAGAAGGACAGACTTGTATGCGCGGAAGAGAGAGGCCATCAAGGAGAGAACCAAGCGGGGCCCCACAGATAGGGCCGCTATTCGACCAGTTGGCCCTGAAATTGACTTTCCTTTCACGCGTCCGCGTCAACGACAGCTCTGTACCGTCTCTTTGCGCGCAGATCTCACTACCAGCCTCAAGCTCAAGTACGGCGTCCGGTCACCTACAGCGCCATCTCGTCACTCTGCCTTGCACCCTCAGACGAGTCTGTCCTGCAGTATTGAGCCCGCGTCGTATGGGGTGTGCATGTGAGATCTTGAGAGCTGGCGTCGGAGGAACAGCTCTCATTGTTGTTGGCGTAGAGTAGATGTAAAGGTGCGACGCTAGCTTCTCTTGCCTGATCTAATGTTCACAGTCTACCTGACCAGCTACGCACAACCCTTCTGCCTTCGACATGTCAAGTTTCTCTTACTCTCTCTGGCGTCATCTTTACGAACGTCACCGAACCCTCTACCCTAGAGAGGCGGCCTTCGCACCAGCAAGCACGTCCATCAAGCATACTTTGCGCTACCCATTTTTCCATCTGCTTGCCCGTGAATAAGCTCGTCACGGGCGACCTCCACGTCTCTTCAATGGTGTCGGCCACATTGCGGCGCGTCGTCACGTAGAGAACTACTTCCATCCATTTCGCACTCTCCCATCGCCTTCTCTTACCAACGCTTCTCCTCTGAGAAGACCAGGTTCCCCAGAAGAGGATCTTCGTGCACGGCTCTTGCTCCACCCTACTTCCTTCTTCCCTGGCCACAACGCACAGAGTCGCGTGCTGCACTTGGGGGACACGGCCAAGGCGTGCCGGACCAGGAAGCGGAAAGTCCCGTCCCTTCTCTTCAACCTCTCTTGCCGCAAATCGTAAACATGAACACTCGAACTTAGTCCATCGTTATCACGAGATGCCATGCCGACGTGCCATTCATCCCAAAAGCACGACCACAGAAGAGGAAGACCGTGTCAAGTCGTGGGACTCGCTCGCCGGGTGCTCTCGCGCACGGACGAAGGGGTGTCGTGAACCGCTAGCGCTCTATCCCTGCACGGGTGGGTAGCCGGAGAAATTGGTGTTTCATCGTTCTTCTCAGGTTTCCTCCCCAGCCTCTTCGCGAACAGTACCAAATTGAGTTTGAGTACCCACTCTATGCCTTCGGATGCGACACAGGCACGTAATTCTGGCTTACAGATTCAAATGCAGCCCACCCTCTGCGACCAAGCCCTTTCCTTCATCCATCCTTTGTGGAATAGAGAGACCCGACTATGGAAGCCCTTCCCATCCAGAACAAACCCCACATTGTCTTCCTGATATGTTCCTGATTCTTGTCATATGGAACTTGGTGCTATCGGATATGGTGTAACGGCTAACATTGCCGCCTTTCATTTGAAACGATGATTTTCGCGGCAGCTCGGGGTTCGATTCCCCGTATCCGAATAAGCAGAGTGTTCTGACTCTTATCTTTTTCAAGTTTCAAATTGAAAGACACGCAGATCGATTCAGGAATCAGCGATTCAAGAACTTTGATTGACTTTGGCGACCGGAAAGAACCGCCCGGGATATTTCCTGAGAGGGAGCATGGTTGCTCTCCTCATCTCTGTTTGATTTTCTTTGCGCGCGCATCTGACTACCAGCCTCAAGTAGGGAGTCTCGATCTCGCCACTCTACTGCGCCGTTCCTCGCGTCACTGTAGTTGTCTTTGAACAGACTCGCCACCTGGGTTTGGGGATGCGACCAAGTTTTCAGCGCAGGTGGTGTCTCTTGCCTGATTTGATGCTCTCAGTCTACCTGACCTGCCCTCGAAAACCTATCGTATCTTTCATGTCATCTCTCGCAACGGCGTCATGTTTCCGAACATTTTATCTTTATGCAGTCACCTCCCATCCATTTCTGCTATCCACCTTCCCGTCGTCATGGAACCCTAACATGCAATACCTCCACGTCTCAGATTGTAGCGCTTCGCACTCTCTCCCATCACCTACCCCTTCTCCCGGAAGAGGGTTTCAGTGCACGACTCTTAGTTTCCCGGCCATAACGCACGACACGACCAAGGCGCGCGAGTATCCGAGCCCGTCCCTTCTCTTCTACCCAAACCGTAAACATCCACACCGAACTTGGTTATCAATCCACCTGGCGTGGAAAGGGTCCTCTCGCGCACGGACGAAACCTGCGCCGGAGAATTTGGCGTTTCAGCGTCATTCCCTCCCCCACCCAGGCATCATGCCTCCACGCGAATGAGGCGCGCCCATCCCTTTCCCTCATCCTTTTCACTGGGCTGCGGAATAGAGAGACCCGACTATGGCAGCCGAACTGTTTGCCTGAGGGATTTCATTGGCGTGCAGTATCGGATATAGTGTAGCAGCTACCATTGCCGGATCTCGGGGCTCGATTCCCTGTATCCGATGCAGTCTTTAACGCCGGCGACCATGCTTTCAATTTTGCTTAACAGTCACGTTTTCATCTAAAACTTGTTAGAATGAGTGCTTTCGTTCACTACAACTACTCATCCCAGTCACTTCTCAGGCGGGAGGGCATGCGTAAACCAGATTCAAAAGTTGCGTATGAGAAAGAAAACAGCGAGGGCTGCGCTCTTTCATCCCATTCCCTTCGTGCGCGCATCTCACTACGAGCCTCAACGGGAGCCCCATGGTAGACGATCGTCATCTCGTCACTCTACTGCGACGTTCCTCGCGCCCTCAGTCATCTTTGGAACGTACTGAGCCCGCGTCATATCCCTATCGCTGCACCCCAAGCTTTACTCTCCCACAATGGAATGTGCCGGAGGAACAGCTCCCATTTGCCATTGAACACTTGCATTTTGGGATACGATGGCGCAGAGTAGATGTAACGGTTCGTGATTTGATGTTCATAACCAGCTACGCACAGCCCTTCTGCCCTCGAATATCATGTCAAGCTTCCCTCTCTCGCAACGGCGTCGTCTTTCCGAGCCTCACAACGCTCTCTATCCGGCCTTCATACATCCATCAATTTTCCATCTGCTTGCCCGTGAATAAGCTCATGACGCAACCCCAAGAGTCAGATGCATGTCTCTTCAATGGCCAGATTTTAATTCGTCGTCACATCCGTCCATTTCTCCCATCGCCTGCTCTTACCACCCAAGTAGAGGATCTCTGTGCACAACACCCTACTTCCATCTTCCCCGGCCACAACGCACAAGTGCCTTCTCTTCTACCCCCAAACCACTTTATAACGAGATGCCATACCGAACTTGGGTATCTAGCACGACCACAGAAGAGGAAGAATGGCTTAAACCGTGGAACTGTCCTCTCGCGCACGGAAGAAGGGGGTGCGCCATGACCATCTCATTTGGCATTTTCTCCTCAGTCTCTTCGCGAACACAATACCAAACCGAGTTCGAGTTCGAGTACCATCCATGCGACTCAGGCTCCACGGAGATTTGGTTGACGGATTCGCGCGCATCCCCTTTCCATTTTCCTTCGTTCATCCTTTTCGCTGGGCTTAACTTCCTGAGATGTGTTTGCCGGAGAGATCCCCTTGTCATGTCGATCTCTCCATCATCGGATATGGTGTAACGGCTAACATTGCCGCCTTTCATTTCTTGCTATGCGTAGCCTTTCGCGCCAGCTCGGGGTTCGATTCTCCGTATCCGAATGTACAGTGACACTAGATCTTTTTGTAAGTTTTAACAGAGACGTACATGTAATATCGATTCTGTAAAGAAGAGATTTGAGTTGGAACTTGTCTCCCTTACCAGAAAGAACCTTTCCTGGGAAGGAGAATCAACGGCATGAGCATGGTCGTTCTCCTTTTCTTGCAATGCGCTGTTTAATTTTCTCCACCCACTTTTGATAAGAGTCTCTAGTGATTATCCCGTCTTTGGAACATCATGCATCAGCCTTTGAATGAGCGGTAGCACAGATCATGGTTGGTTCATACCATGTTCCCGCCAAGTTCCCGCATTGAATTTTACCGAGGCGATGGTTCTGTGGCTGAAAACCGCTGAAAAACAGATACACCATGTACGAATTGCAGGCGAGCTCTATATCTTTTGGCATTTCTAAGATACATCAATAGTCTATCTCCGAGAGCTACTTGTGCGGCGTGCCCATTTTCGTAACAACCTAGAAGATAATAGGTTCGGTACGAGCCGTTCAACTGGCTGCCGTTCGCGACATAGGGCTCCGAAATCAATCTGAGGCAACTGCAACGGAGTGATTAGCGAGTACCAATCTCCGAGTGTGGTCAAGGATGCCGTGTCCGATAGGGCAGACACGTTTCCCGCCCTGCTTCGTTGGAGTACGTCTGCGCGCACGCGCGTATCGTGGGTCAGGCAGGGTACTCTCTTTGACGACGATAACATTGTTTATGAGTACGGACCACCATAGGCATTCTCCGTACTCTCGACAGCATATCCACTGGGGTTCTATCATAAGTAGGCCGTGTAGATTTGAAGGTGAGGCAATGATTCACTCACCCCAATCGCCATCCTAAAAGTTGAGCAGGTGTTGAGCTCGAGGTTGCTGGGCGGAACTGACGGGGACGATATAGCTTCTCGCGTGATGGGTCCCAAGAAATCGATCTGCGTGTTTCGTTGGGAGTTGATGATCCGAGGATGTGAAAGATGCCAAGACGAGTTCCACTAGTACTCCTGTGATCGGACAATGCCGTTGTAGCAGCTAGGAGATGAACTCGGTCAGATGCTTATAAGAGGTGAAAAGGACTTGTTTTCGTAGTAGGTCAAAGTGCAGCCGCTCCTCTTCTCGAGTCGAGTAGTTACCAGCTTGGCGCCTTGACTACTAGTAGCAAAAGTGTTTTCGGATTTATGCAAGGCACGGAGGTGGCATTGAACTAACACGGCCATAGGAAATACGCGAACCATGCTAAAGACAGATAAGTGATGCTTTTGCAGGCTGAGGCGACATAGCATACGTTGGACGCACAATCGAGCATAGCAGTCACTTGGCAGTCAATCGCTTTGGGGTGTCGCCCTCGAAGTTCGCGTGCTTGTGCGACGAGATAGTCTGTTGTGTTGGCCACACTGTCGTCAGCGGTTGATGGAATTTCGATTGGCTGAAAGTCCTCTCCTTCATTCCAGCAGAAAACCTCCACTGGGACGTCGCTGTTTGAAGTATAGTGGAAGTAGTTGATTTCGACCCCAGAATATCGTTATTGCGCTGGCAAGCCTGAGATTTCTTTACGAGCTCCGTCGTATTTGTCTCCTTCCGCACCTTTTTAGCTATCGCCCGAGAATGTTGGCTGTTTACACGTTTACGCAGTTATTAATAAAAGGATTGTGCCATCCGGGGAATCGAACGGTTGTGAGGATGTGAGAAAAATCAGTAAGATTGAATAAATATAGGCTGAGATCACAGAAGTACGGCGTTAGGAGAATCGTGAATTCTAATGCACGTCGTAGCAGTGGTGAGCTCGGCCGGATCGGGCTGGGAGTATTTTTTCTTCTTCATAAGTGGCACGTGCGTTCCTTTCGTTCATCCATTCAACTTCTTACACGCAGGTACGAGTTACACGACTATGTATAATGCGGTTTACCAGGCTGAACTCGTTCGTTCTGTAGCGAAAATCGGTACACAAATCCGTCTTTCTCCAAAAAATTCCTGAACCGTCCAAGATTCACACCTCAATGTCGTGCCTCACCTGCAGCAATTGCGGATTCGTCATTCCCCTTTCTCCCGAGCCACAGTTACAAACTCTCAAAGATTCCGACATCCTCGTTTCACAGATTCTACGTGGGTCACGGCCATTGCTCGGATCCGACCATGCCTTGATAAACGACGAAATTGCGAAGCTCGAACGGATGGGGTCTTGGTACAATGCGCAGCTTCATGCAGTCCTGAAATCCCTAGAAAATCGCAAGTCGGTATTCGCCCCCATTCGTCGTCTTCCCCGAGATGTTTTCCTTGAAATCTTTCATTTTGCCTGCGACTCTTGGTGGCAGGATGTCGAAGAGGACGACATCGAACGTGATAGTCTAGACATGACCGGGCCTCTTTGGGTCTTGGGTAGCGTCTGTGGACTTTGGAGAGACATTCTACACACCTCACCAGCGTCCTGGGCTCGGTATGTCTTGGTGAGGCCACCTTTCTCCAAGCACGCTCCCGAGATATTGCAGGCATATCTCGAGCGCACAGGCGAACACCCTCTCAGTCTGGTGACCGTCTATTATAGCCCCAATCTCGCAGAATACGGCGAAATCATGTCCTTACTCGTTCAATCTTCCTATCGGTGGAGGAACGTGTGTATTCAAACCTCCGCGCATCATATGCGCCGCTTGGAATCTGTGTCGCATTTTCCTATCCTGCAGACAATTGAAATAGATATCTTTGATGATGACGACGGGCCCTCGGACATGTCCTCGGACATGTGTTTGAAGGCCCCGCAACTATGGCAAGCAACTCTTCACAGCCAGGGGATCGCGCAAGTCAGGTTACCGTCCGGGATAACTAATTATTCCGGATATATCACTTGTGTAGAAGATCTACAGCTCCTTTCTCAACTACCGAAGCTTAGAACATGTCACCTACGGTCCAGTGAGACGTCGCCGACCGAGCCGGTGGTTATGGCGGAGCTCCGCCAACTGTACGTAGAGTATTCAGATGCCCTCGATCTCCTAACGGCACCGATGCTCCAAAGCCTCACCATTGCTGAAGTTCTTGAGGGATCGCCGTCGTCGTCCGGCATCGCCCCCTTCCTCCGTCGATCTGGATGTCGTCTCGAGAGCTTGAGTATATGCATGGACATACCGTCGGCCTTGATCAGCAACATCTTCTCATCAGAAGCATGTTCTATGATCTCCCACCTCAAACTCGAACTCGGTCCGGACTGGGATGGTATTTCTAAGATCCTTGCCCCTTCCTTGATTTTACCCAATTTACGCCATCTCATTCTCTGCTTTGTGTGTCAGTATAACCGTCATGGGGAGACGGGTAGGCATGCCTTCCTTGATATGATCCGCTCTTGCTGTAAAGCAGGACAGCTGAAGACGATCGAAATTTCCTTTGAGATGGGTATTTATACCGCTCACATTATAGAAGCAGATATCCGAGCTGTCATTGGGGACACTGTGGAGATGCGGGTCGAGGAGTGGAGCCCACTGGATTTGGATTATCGGTACTCATTTTCAGGCCCTGAATTGCCCGAAGATTAGAAAAGTTTCTATCTTCCCAGAACGTGATGAGACAGAGTTTGCTCAGACGAGAATCTCTGGTGCTCGGGGGGACTAGACAGTGTTGATAGATCCATGCTACCATGAAAGTAGGTAACAGGATTTGATACTAATGTATGCGAGCAAGCAGTTGTTTACCGATCCAAGTATGAGCCTTGTCTCATGAAACTAGAGGGTTATGTCTGGAGTTCTTAAACCACTTGTACATCACTGTCGGTTCGTAGAGCTGAGTTTACTTGGGAAGTGCACAAGTCTGAATTAAACCTCTTTGGAGGTCAGAAACGGAGTACCTACTCCGAATCTGGGGTATTCTACACCTAGTATAAATTGCAGGCAAGCTCTATATCTTTCGGCATTTTTATCGCAGTGCTAGATACGGCAATAGTCTATCTCCAAGAGCTGCTTCAAGTTGTACAAATTTTCATAGCAACCTGGGTTCGGTATGAGCCCTTCAACTGGATAACAGAATAGACGTCACCACGTTGCGATCAGACAAGAGCTCCGAAGTCAATCTGGGGTAACTGTGAGGGAGAGATTAGGGAGTACCGAAGCCCAAGTGTGGTCAAGACTCCTTGGAGATCTTCTGGATGCCACGTCCGATAGGGCAGACACAGTTCCCGCTCCGCTTCGTGGGTGTACGCATGCACGTATCGCAGGGTAGTACTCTCTTTGACGACGATAACATTGTTTATGAGTACGGGCCACCATAGAAATTCTCCGTACCTCTCTACAGCGTATTCACTGGAGTTCTATTATAGACGGGCTGCGTAAATTTGAAGGTGAGGCGATGCTTCACTCACCTCAATCGCTATCCTAAAAGTCGAGCAGGTGTTGAGCTCGAGGTTGCTGGGCGGAACTGACGGGGGTTGATAAAGTTCTGTATGATCTTTCGCGTGATGGATCCGGAAATCAATCTGTATGTTTAGCCGGGAGTTGATCAACTGGGTCAGATGTCTATAAGCGGTTAAAAGGAATTGTTTTCGTAGGTCGGAAAGCAGCCGCTCCTCTTCTCGAGTCGAGTGGTTACCATTTTAGCGGTGTCACTAGTACTTACATAGTAACAAAAGCCAGATTGTGCAAGGTACATGCAGAGGGAATGGACACGGCCATATGGAATACCTGAGCTATGCTAAAGCCAGTTGACTGATGCTTTGGCAAGCGCATATGGCTGAGGTGACATAACGTACGTTGTACGTACAATCGAGCATAGCAGACGGGATAGCAACGACAATCCCGGGCCCACCCAAGCCAGTCAACCACTTTGGGGTGGCGCCCTCGAAGTTCTCGTGCTTGGGCGAAGAGATAGTCCGTTGTGTTGGCCCCAGTGGCGCCAGAGTTGATGGGATTTCGATTGGCTGATAATCCTTTCTTTCATGCCAGAAGATAACCTCTACTGGGACGTCGTTGTTTGAAGTATGGTGGAAGTAGTCGATTTCGACCCCGGAATATAGAGGCTGAGATAGCCCAT